GCCCCGCGCCTCCCGCTCCGCGGCCGCGGCCGCCGCCTTGCCCCGCGCCGCGGCGGCCTCCTCCTGCCCCGTCCCGCCCGCCTCCGCGCCCGGCCCGCCGCCACCCGCGGCCCCGCCAGCTCCGCCGGCGCCGCTCCCGCGCGCCAGCTGCCTGTACACCGCGTCCACGACGCTCCGCCCCTCGGGGCTCGTCGACAGCAGCGCCAGGCCGGGGCCCGCGGGGGCGCAGGGCGAGCACGACGGCTCTGGCGGCAGCGCGGCAATCTGGACTAGACCGAGCAGCTCCTGCAGATGGGCGGCGCGGCCGGCCTCTGCGGCAACCCACTCCGCCACGGTGCCGAGCACATCCAGCTCCTGGGTGCGACGGGTGGCGGCGGTTTCCGGCGGTTTTTGAACAACTAGAGAGTTTCTTTGCGGGCACGGTCGCCGTGGGCAGGCGCTTCAGTGCGTGTGTGGCCCGCGTGGCAGCCGGGGCGGCACCGGCAGCTGCCCAGCGGGCGGACCGGCCCGCGCAGCCTGCAACACCGCCCAACCTCCAACCCCACTCAACCACCCAGCCGCCAGGCCACCAATAGACTCCGCTTGCCGACCGCTGTCCGCATACTCCCACGAGCGGACTCCAGCTGCGGCCACCCGCCCACCCCACGCTCAAACACAAGTTGATGAAGACGCAAGCCAAGGAATGACTTGACGCAAGCCAAGACACAATTTGACGCAAGTCAAGAAATAGTCTCATGAACAGGGTCATGGTGAGGTCGCAGACCCACCGACTCGACCACGAGCTCCTCGCTGCCCAGCAGCTCCACCAGCAGCTCCCGCGGCAGCCTCGCCAGGGACGGCCGCCACTCAGACTGCAGCAGGCTCGGCAGCCGCGCGCACAGGAACGACAGCTGGACGGGGTTTGGGTGGTTGGAGGGAGCGGCAGGGCGCAGGGGGATGTCGAGGGGTTGGAGAGGGATGGGAAAAGGGCGGGGAGCGCTGGCAGTCTCAAGGGGTCCAGGGGGTGAGGACGGGCAGAGCGTGGAAAGCGGCACACCGCCGCCCGCCAAAAGCTGCATGAGCACTTTGTATGCGACGGGAAGCCAGGACTTAGAAACAACACACGCAAGGAGGACAATGGATGACAAACCCGCTGCCAAAACTCTTGCTGAGAAGACATGTGGAGGCGGAGCAAGACCAGGTTTGCAGCGCGCAGGGGTGAACACACGAACAGCCCGCGCCAACGCACCGCGTCGCGCCGCAGCTGGCCGCAGTGGTACTGGTGGGCCATCAGCAGCACGTCCACACAGCTGGGGGGCGCCAGCGCGGAGCGCAGGTACTGGGGGCCGGGAGGGACGGGAGTGGGGAGGAGAGGAGAGGAGAGGAGACGTCAGGGGGGCGGAGCGAGGATGGAGGTGGGGTGCGCGACGAAGTGAGCGTGCGCAGGAGGCGGCGCCTGGTCATACAGTAGAGGGTGTGCAGGGCGCAAAGTTGTGCCGGGCGTTTGTGTTGGCGGACCCGGGCAGGTCAGCAGGCGGGGAGAGCGGCAGCCGTGTGGTCTTGGGGCCTTGATCACGCATGCCGCTGCCGCCCTGACCAACAGATTGAAAACAACACTGGCGCGGCGGGACCCGTTGCTGGTGGGGGTTGCGGCGTGAGCGTGGGCGCCGCGCAGCCGCCGCCCTGCGCGGCCCGCGCACCTGGCAGCAGGCCGACGTTATGAGTGGGCACTCCAGGTACCCGCCCATCTCCATCAGCCAACCAACTGAGCCGGGCGTGATGCGCACGCGCCGCGCTGCAAAGGTATGAGGAGGGATAGGGTGGGGGTCAGGAGGCTGATCACAGCTTGCTTGCGCGAGTGTGCGTGGCACAGCTGCTCACGCGGGGCACGGGCGTGCCCGGCCTTTCGTCCTGACAGGCGTCCCCCACCCTACCACCCCCTCCCCCCGAAACAGCATCAGGCCTTGTGTCAACGCCGCCTTTGGTGGGGTGGTGGCAGCGGCGGCGCGGAACGCATCCCAGCCTGGGCAAGTCGACTGCCTGGGATACGCACAGTGGTCCCTCCCCAGACAACACGGGCCTGACTTTTTGACCCACCGTAAACCGCCTCCAAAAACGCGTCCAATTGCGCAGCGCCATAGTGGAGTGACACACGCTGGGTGGCCTCCTGGGTCTGCTGCTGCTGCGGGGCCGGGCCGCACCGCTGCGGCTCCAGCTGCTGCTCCCTGCCAGCTGAGGAGCTGGGGCGCGCCTCGCGCATGGCTGTGCCGGCGCCCTGCTTGTGTGTGTGTGTGCATGCGCGTGCAGGCGTCGCAGCCGATGAGCGCGTGGAACGAGTAAGCTAGCCCTGGTAATGGTGCTGCACCACCAAGGCCGCTCGGCCCGAAATTGAAGCGGCCATGGATTTGACACAGGGATGCACACTCGCTGCGCTGCTGCAGCATCGCGTACAGCACAGCTGAGGATCGGCCGATCAGCGAGACGCGACTGTCTGCACCTGCGCCGCCCGCCGCCCCGCCAGGCGCGCACGCACCGTGAACAGCGCGCGGAAGAAGCCTGATGCTGCGGCCAGCACGAGCCGATGCGCACGCAGCGCCGCGCCATCCGCGGTCGAGACGAGCACGACGTCGCAGAGGTGGCCGCGCTCCCACAAGTCGCGGAGCGCGCTCGCCGTGGGATCGGGGTGCGGCTGCGAGTAGCTGCAGGATCCAGCGTCTTCAGCGACGCATAAGAGTGCCGGCTCATCCAAACAGGCCGACGCAGCGGCGACCCGGTCGGGGAGGGTCATTGCCCCGTGTGCGCACGGCGGGGCGCCACGAGCCAACCACACAGCGTACGGGGGTCCGCTACTCTGAGGCGTAAACTACATTCAGTGTGCTGTATACAGTACGTGTACACGGAATTCTAAACACAGGGGACAGGTGACGCGAGGGGGGTGTGCTTGAAACTGGAAAGAGAAGCGGTGTGTGCCAGTGGCCCCGTGAGATTACAACAAACAGACGGCGCCTCCAATGAGCGAAAGCGACCGTCAACCGTGGCACTCTGATCTTGTGATCAGACCGCGCGGGTGACCGTGGGTCCTTCCTGAAGGCATCACGTATGTCGCGATAGTAGAAACAACAAGCGGTATCATGGAGTACAGGAGCGCAGCCACCCGGCCGCACGGCACGGCCATCGGCGGGGCCAGCACATCCGCACTGCGGCCTGGAGGTGCGGCAGACCACAAACAACTGCTGGAGGAGCGGCGCAGCGCGTGGTCCGCCCGACGCGGCGGGTGAGGGCTGCCATCAAGTACCATATGCTTGTCCATGGGTTGAAGCTGACAGGGCGCTGCGCACAGGCCGTGCTGGTTGTGGGCACGTGCCTCGCCCCACTCGACTCCACCGTCGACAAGCAACACCTTGGCCACGTTTCCACATGGCGAACAGGGCGGGGCTGGCGGCCGCGATATGGCAGCCAGACATGGGCGCCTTCCGTGTGGCTGTCAGGAGCAGCGCTGCGGTGCGGATCGACTCAATGGGTGCGCATGGCTGCTGTCCCATGCCCTAGTTCGCTCGAGGCTGGAGCTGTGTATACCCCCTTTGTAAGGTCTCTCGTGGGTATGCAGGACAGCAGCAACCCCAGAAAGGCAGTTTTGAATCTCAACTTTGTCCTTCATTTCAGAAACCCGCGGCTACACTATGCGTGTGTGTATGGCCGCCTCCCCGCTTGAATGCAACGCACGAGCAAGCTCGCTCGTCCTTGAACCTCACTGCCCCCGCCCCGCCCCCCAGGCTTCATGTCTGGCGGCGAGCACTACCTGCACCTGGAGGAAGCTGCCTTCCTGGCGGACCGCGGCAACCTGCTGCTCTTTGAGGATGCCACGGGGCGCCCCGGCAGCGTGGGCAAGCGGCTGCTGAGCCTTGAGGAGGTGCTCCACGCCATGGTGCGCATGCAGCACCCTCAGCATCATGCCGGGGCCCTTGGGTATGGCAGTAGATCAAAGCACGCAGGGTACGGTCTCAGGGGATGCACAAGCTGCCGCTGGGAGGGCAGCCGGCGCCCAGCAGCACTGCCCGTCGCCCAATGGTCCAGCAGCCAAAGTCCAGAGCTTCACAGCAGGACTTGGCCAGGACTGTTGCACACGCAGAAAATAACTCGCCATGCTTGCCGCGCCCGGTGTTCAAGCAAAAAATATCCTGTGCCAGCTCAATACTGCTGCCCCACCTGTCCCCTCAACATCACATCCTGTAGGCAGCATTTGGGGTGCCGCTCGAGCGGTACCTGCTCTACAGCGGCCTCGCACGCCTGGGATTCATCGTGCGCAGGTGAATACGTGGCAGCAATGGGCCCCTAGCCTGCTGGTGGGCGGCATGCAGCTGTTCCGCTTTTTGTCACCTCCCCATCGTGCTTTATGCACAGCCCTGCGCAGCACCTCGGCGCAACCCAGTTGGTGCTCCACAGTTGACAAGCAGCCTGTTGGGCCGGCGCCTTTGTGCTGTCTCCTTGTCTTTACCAAACCTGTCACCCCCCGCTGCTGCCACTGGCATGGATATGCAGGCACCCGGCCCGCTGGTATCTGGAAGAAGGAGAGCACCCTTCTGCGGTTTGGGGCGCCACCCACGCCTGGCGGGGTGCCGATGGGCTGCCCGCGCCACCAGTCGCGGCCACCTCCGCCGCGGGCGACCGAGGACGCAGGCGGCGGCGCAGCCGGGAGGGCCCGCCCCAGGAAGCTGCTTCCTCGTCGCCGCCCTTGCTACCACAGCCTGCCCGGGCCTGGTGGCCACGGGTCGCAAGTTGGCTGGCAGGCGCGGTTGAGGTTTTAGATGCAGCACCCCGCCATGCAGTCGCTCAAGACCTGGGAGCGGCTCTCAGGCAGCAGTTCCCGCGGCTGCGCCCGCTGCCTCGCACCAGCAGCCTCGCATCAGCAGAAGACGGCGTTTTGTCCAAGCTGCCACCGGGAGCGGGAATGCCAGCAGGTACAGGAGCTGGTGCCGGTGCAGCAGGGGCAGGGGCAGAGGCGGAGGCTTGTGTCGCGTTTGTTGCGTACAGCCCCAGTGCGGTGTTCTCAAGGCGTAAGCCCGGGCTACCGCAGTTTGACGTTGTCATTCAAACCGAGGCAGCCAGCACGCCAGGCCTTGGTGGCGATTGCAGCGACGGCAGTGGCGGTGCTTGCACAGCAGAGCTTGAGAACAACAGTGGTCAAGTCGGTGGCAGCTTCCCTAGCTTGGCGGCCCTGCTGTCGCTTTGGGGTGGGGCTGCCGCGGCGCCGGCTCGGCTGACGGTGCTGGATGGCGGGGAGACAGGATACTTTGATTTGCAGCTGGCATGCGTGGTGAATATGATTGCACCGAAGCCTCACTCAGTGTCGCCAGACTGACGCTAGCATTGTCAAGTTAATGCTGCTCCAGCTGGTGTGTGGTGCAGCGCGGCTGGCACTCCGAGCCAACTGGCGCGGAACATGCCTCCTTGTCACACTGGACAGCACTGCGAGTATCCGTTGCCTCGGTGAGTGCACGCTCTTGAAATGGGAGGTGCACGGGCAGTGAGGGGCGTAGGGTAAAGATCACAAGGGATTGGATACGTTGCCAAGTGAGGCTCATCAGCCACCTGCATTTTTCTGGTGGACTCTCAAATGCCGCTTTGCCGACATTCCCTGGCATTGTGGCCGCACATTCTATACCCAGGATTCAAGCAACTCAAGGGCTCGAGTCCATGCATGATGCATCTTCTAGAAATGAGAGGCTGCTACTGCAGAGGATCACCTCCACGTCATAAAAGAGTATCAAAGTGTTGTAATGACTTGCATGCAAGACATGAGGCTGAACAGACGATCAATTTTCTGGGCTCAGCCAACACTTGCATACCGTACACACACACGAGTGCCGTAGCAAAGGTCACAGTTTGGTGGTGGCGAGAGCCACCGTTTTGGGGGTGTTAGCGAGTGCCGCAGCACTGGCAAAGGCGCGACGAGCTGTTTACTCGGCCTCG